TATTCATTTATTTTGTATTTCATAAGTCCATGAAAATTAAATAAAAGAGGAAATAAAAAGAAAGTTAAGAGGTTATCATACCCCATGGCTCATGACAAAATTTTGAAACGAAGATTATGAGAAAATTTCAAAATTAAAAAATAAAAAAAAATAAAATTTTTTTTTAAAAAAAATTTATCATTCGGATCAACAATCTTAGAATTATAATTTAGATTTATTAACAGATCTATCTGCCTAAAAATATCAGATATGGATATCTGATTTCAATTCGGATTTAAGGGATCAATCCAGATTTATCAAATTTAGGATTAGATCACTACTTATCACATCAATTGAAGATGCCATGTGAGAAGTTCGTCATTTTCTTTTTTATAGATTAGATCTACAAACTTTTGGAATGATAATTTATTATATTTTCAGAAATAGGCTTTAGGTTTTAAAATTTGGGTTTTAGATTTTAGAAGAATAAATGCATTTCCAAAATTATGTTTAGTATATACTGAAACCTAAAGAATTTCAGAAGGCTTCAGTTTCGATACTTATGTTAATATATAATTAGTTACTTATATTATATTTGCTTTAGATTTAGCAATTGTTGGATCCTATTTTCTAATGTATATAAATCATTAAAAGTTGAGCAGGAAATTATTATTTATTTTATTTTTAAAAAAAAAAATTTTTAGATTATTATTTTTCTTTACTTTTATATAATAAATTTGATTTTTTGTATACAATTCATTATTTTTTAAAAAGAATAATTTTCTTTTTTTATAAAAAAAAATGTATTTATTTTTTTTTATAATCATGAATGTTTGTAAAAGAATCACTTTTTATTTACAATATAAAGAATTTTTTTTAACTTATTTAGACAAAACAAAATAACAAAATAAAAAGTAAATTACAGGATTTAATTCTTATTTTGAAAAATAAATCAAAAATAAAGAAAAAAAAAATAAGAATAGAATTTAAAGATAAACTAGATATTAAATATCACAAAAGATTATAATGTAAAATTAAAAAGAAAAATTGCAATTTTTCAAAAAAGAGTTTGGTAAGTTTTACTAAATGGAAAGTTTCCAAGTTTACTACCATCACTATTACTTACATCATTTAAGGTATAGATTTGAGATATAGTTTTTTTTCTATCCCGCAAATATAGAGTAAATGTTATATCTTTTTTTATAAAAACATAATTTTTACAGAGAGCTAGTTAAAATTTTTGTAATCATAAAAATAATTGTAATCAAATATTATATTTTTATCTTTCTTTGAATTTATTAAAAAATATAAAAAATAAATATATATTGAAGTTTTTTTTCTTAAAAAATTTTTCTAATATGAACATAGATAATACAAAGTAAAAATCAATAAAAAAAATACAAAATCAAATGTATCACAAATAAAAATATTAAAATTGAAATGAAAGATTTAATTACAAATTACAAATATAATTCATTTATTTTATTTGAAAAAAGAACAAAAATGAGATTAGCGATTAAAAAGTGTTAGTTTTATCTCAAAAAAAGAATACTATGAATGAATATTATACAATTTTTTTTTAAAAAAAAAAAATAAAAAAAAATCAAATCAACAAAATTAAATGTCAAAAAAAAAGATCAATAAATTGGGAATGAAATGCTGATCACTTACTGCGCCAATTAACTTTCGTAATCAATGGTCTAATAATGATGTAATAATGGAATAATGAATTTTGATGGAAATTTAGACTTACGGTATAAATTAGACTCCTAGACCAAATTCTCTCTTTCCTGAAAATTTACAAATTTGCAATTTCCCATTTACGAATGTTCTTACCACCCACCCTCCCCTGCCAGTGTATATTCTATAGGTTGTGGTGTTCGTGATTTGATGTTATACACACTTCATAATGCTTGACCAACCTTTCTGTTCACAGCCTTTATGCTGTGAACGGCTCCTAAATATTGTTCCGATATAGTAACGTTTCAATCAAATTTTTGCAGAAATATCTTTTAAATGATGGTCAAATTTAACATTAAAAAAGTGTTGCAGGAAAGCTTAAAATGCGTAATTACATAGAAACATATAGCTATAGAAATCGCAGTAGCATTAGTTATAGCTGTAGCTAATATAGGCTTTAAAATCGATGTTCACGTTGTGTATTACCAAAAACAATAAAGATCTGTACAACCAAGATACAAATTAAGCGAAATGTCAATTTTTCTGGAAATGATCATCGATAAATTTCTCACTTTCGCCTGACGCACCAAAAAAATAAAAAATAAAAAATTTCGTGCCTAATGAAGTCAGTCTAATTTAGAAACTAATATCCGATCATTCATTGCAATATATTAAGTTTGTATCGACAACTTGATTTATTTCTTTTTCGGTCGATTCCGAATTGATTTTCATGAATTTCATTGTTAACCAATCAAAATATTGAGCAGCAAAGAAATTTTTGTTGGGTGAAAATTTGTTCCTTTTGTAAGAGGCATTAAAAACGTATAACCACAAAAACCAAGAATACAAAAAAAGAGCTCGACTAATAGATATTCTGAATTAGTTTACGAAACTAAAGTGTGTTTTTTTTTTTGCTTTTTGAAAATCACGGACCGGTAAAACCTGGGGTCCCAGTAATGAACTTTAAAAAGATTTAATGCAGAAATTCGGGTGTCCCTAACTAAAAAATAACCTTAATTTTTCATTCAGCAAATAGGCTTTTAGGAACTCTAAACCACCATACCGTTAATTTTCTTTGACGGGACGATTTATCTCTATAAATACTCGATAAAATTTCGGTCTTTCTTTTTTTTAAAAAAAAAGAAAAAAGGGAAAGATATTATCGTCATGCCCTTTTTCTTAAAATCAAATGTTTTTTATTTCAGTTTATTTATATTATTAAGCTCGGTCCTTGTGAATTATTATTCGTCAAATGTTGATTATGATGTAAATTATGATTATACCAATGATGGGAACTTTTTACCAGCCCCGATTTTTGATCTTGTATTATGGATGAAGAGAAAATTCTTGTGAGTATATTCTCAATAATCAAATTAAAAAAATTATTTTATTTTAAAAGAAAAATTATAAATCATGCTATGCTGTATTAGATTATTACCAAATTACTTGTTTTCGCCACAACAATTGATGTCGGGAATTATTTACGATTATTTCGTACTCAATGCATTATTTGAATTAGCAAATCTAAGAATAGCTGATATAATTAAAGAAGAAGGAGGCAAAGTATCTGTGAAAAGGTTAGCCGAATTAACTGATACAAATGAAAAAATTTTAGGCAGATTATTACGAGCGGTATCAACAAAAGGAATCTTTTATCATCATGGTATTGGGATATATTCGAATAATCGAATGTCTTCGGTGTTAAGAAATGATCATCCAAATAGTGTCCTGCAAATTATTGAGGCAGAAGAATTCTTTAAGGTCGCTAATAACATTGGTGCGGCATTAGAATATCCAAATAATTGGGACGATATTGATGGTGATTTGAACAACAATGAGGTTAAAATGGAAGAATTGGTCACCCCTTGGATGAAAACTTTTGGTATCGATTTATGGGAATATTATTCTTTGCCTGAAAACAAGTATAAATTAGAAAAATTCAATCAAGCTATGGTTTACCCGAATAAATTTATTGGCAATGGTCCATTTATCGGTAATGTATTGTTTTTCTATAAATACCTTGATTTACTTTAAATATTAAATCTGCGTTTACATTTTAAAATTAGATTATGATTGGGGATTAAATGAAAATTCAACAGTTGTTGATGTTGGTGGTGGAAATGGCGGAACGATAGTAAAATTATTAAGTCAATATAAAAAAACCAAAGGAATCATTTTGGATCTTGATGTAGTGATCGAACATACTCGAAAGGTACAACGGACATTAAAAAAAAATCCACGTTTTTGCATGTTAATAAAAAAAAAATAAAAAATTGTTGAAAATATTTTTTCTTTTTTTAATAATACATTTAGGTATTGAAGGAAAATATACATAAAGAACTTTCAGATCGAGTTGAATTCTTTCCGGGAAGCCTCTTTGTGGATCCACCACCGAAAGCGGACGTTTATTATTTAAAATTGATTTTACATGATTGGAGTGACACCTCGGCCATTAAAATTCTTAAAAATCTTCGATCAGCGATTTCTCCTTCAGGTCCTCCAACAAAATTAGTTTTATTAGAAATGATTATGGATGAACCAATACGTGACAATTACCTTACTCAGATGGATTTATCGATGTTATGCACATTTCTTGGTAAAGAACGAACAACCCAAGAATTTATAAATATTTTAAAGAAAAGTGGATGGAAATATGTTAAAAGCGTAAATACTCGAGGTTATATTAGCGTTATTGAAGCCGTACCTTATTTTGATTTAGGGATGTTAAACAGTCCTAAACGGTCCTAAAGTCCCAATAAATTTGCCAGTGCTAGAGAAGATTTCTATTGATTTTAATTTCTAATGACTAATGTATTAATGTAATATTATTAAAAATATATTTTAAACTTATGCGGGAATCCAGAATCTTAATTTTTGAAACTTAGGACACGGTCCTAAGGACCGGGTCCCACCTTGGCGGTCCCATGAACATTGTCAATTTCAAAGTTCATTAAATTTATTATAACAATTTTTTATCAAATTATAGATAAACGATTAGACTTTTTATAACTCGTAATTTCTAAATTTGTTCACAATCATTTGGGACCGTTTAACATCCCTACTTTGATTAAATAAAAAAAAATTTTATTTTTTTATTTTTGTGGAATAATAAATGTAAATGACAGCAAAATTACTATAGTTCACTATAATTTTGACGCCATATTATACGGATAGAAGTATATAAAATAAATTATTTAAAATTTTAAAAAGTTCTTTTTAAACTTTCCCTTATTTATTAAACCCTGCCGACACGTGAATTAAATAAAGAGCAAAACCGTGTCATACAATATATCGAAACAAGGGTACGGTACGGTTCGGCTGATCAACCGACAAACATCCGACATTCATTTTATCGACAGGCCGAACGACATTGTTTCTAAAGTCTTGGCAATATGAAAAAATAAATATTATTTTTATTATAAACACCACCCATGTATTAATTCTAAAATTATGGGGAAAATGAAATACTTTATATGTGAGACTTTTTAGTAAGAATCATAATAAGCGAGAGAGTGAGAAGTTATTTCATTAAACGCATTCAATTTATCATTATTAGTTAGTGGTTTTGATGATAAAAAATTATAAATAAAATTATTTTGAAGATATGATGTAAGTAGATTGTCAGCGAAATGTATGTCTGCTAAGAAAGTAACTGATTTTTCGATTTTAAACAATGATTTATTTAAATAATCCTTCTTTTCTAATAGTTTCATTATCACCACATAATAAGCTCATTATTACCAAAAACAAATTATGCTTCGAACAGCAAAGCAGTCTCGAAATTCATCGTTAAGTTACATGTTCCGCAGTTATTATTCACTATGCTTTTAAAAATTTAGGGCTAGCTTTAGAATACAAGAATTTCAACTGTTTAATCCTATCAAAACTCAAGGTAAAATCGAAGCATTTTTATAACAATTTTTCCTTTGTTACGAATTCCTTAAAATATCAATATGATTGCGGCTAAATGACGGTGTTGACCTGGATTATCTTTCTTTCTCAAGTCAACAAACAATTATTTTTATCTAAGACCTTCCGAAGTAATTATTTATGTAGCATTCAATTAATAAGACTCACTAGCGTAGTTAGTTATCGCATCAAAACCTTTATGAAGACACGAAGAAGATTGAAAGGGTAAAATAGCAACTCTATTAATTTTGGAAGCCTTTTCTTGATACATTATCACAGGCTAGAATAATCTAACTAAAACTTGAAACTCCTATCAATTTACTATTTTTCTTTCCTGGTAACTAGATCGAATTCCCGAACTATTTATACAAAAATCGTTGTTTTAATTTACTATATAATAGATTTAATAAATAAAATAAATATAACAGATAGAATAAATAAATACATATAGCAAATATAATAAAATAAATATAATATAAATTTGATATGTCTGACATTTTCGATATGCACCGCAGTTGCACAAATTTCGAGGGTGATGCAACCTTCCAATTTAATAATTACAAATTAATTAAAAAAATATTTACAAATCCTATATAATTTATCGTATACTAAATAATAATAAAAAAATAAAGATGATACATTAGAGAGCGTTTGAAATACTTTTTCTCCACAAGGAAAATCTGAAATCATTTTCCAGCTATTTTAGCGGGTATAACACTTAACAAAAAGGGGTCAAATCTATTCCAAGCTATCCCAACATCTATTTCCTTAATCATTTAAAATTGATGTCTTTTTAAAATTCCTTCTCAAACTCTTTTTCAAATTCTTCTGGTAATGCTTTTCACGTTTCGGATATTTTAATTTTTATACACTTTTTGAAATAAAATTAACATGTTGTTAAGCTTAAAGTGTTCCTCGTTAAGTTAACAAAGATTATTTGCTAGCAGGGAGTTTAAGTACGTCTAAACTATGGAAGAAATAAACACGAATAGTTAAATTGAAGGGTCAGATCGGTCAGATCGTCTTTATTGATATAGATTTAAAGAAGAATGAATTGTTTAATGAGCAAAGATAAGTTTTAGAAATAAAGTATTGATTTATTTTGAGAATTGTAGTAACTCTGCCATTTAGCAAGTCAAAGATACAGAGTATTTATACAAAAAAAATAATAGTAAATAAAATATGATAAATATAATAAATATAACTAATCTATCTAAACTAACAAATATTATATATATAACAAATATAATAGATCTGGTAGATAGGTCAAATGTGACAAATTTGTCATATTTGTCAGATTTGTCCAATTTGTCATATTGGTCAAATCAGCTAACTGATTTGAATCACATGATTGGTTATATTTGATCAGCACAGCATGGATCACGCTTTCAATCTTTCCCTTCTAAATTTTGAGTTCCTACCCAAATGTTGGTAGCTTCATCAACTATAGATCGGTAGGATTTACTTGATAATTGATAAATATCTTTTAAAGTCACATTCTTAGTTCGTTGGATTTGGTTTACTTCTAAAATTAACCATGTAGTATATACATGACTATAATATTTCATGAAAAGTCCTCTTAATTAACCTCTTTGAGATAGTGTGGTCATCTTAGTTTCAAGTAATTATCCACAGTAGTAAGCATTGGTTAGGGTAAAGATTTGATCTCTTAATCTTATCGATCTTAATAGCATTCGATATGTTGCTAGGATTTTCTTCTGTAAATCAAATAAGTGGGAAAAAAGGTGTTATTTCTAAAGGTAAAGTTGCTTTTAAGTCTTCAATGATTAGTTGTTCTATTAATAGATAATTTGTAAAAAAAAAAAATTTAAAGTGCATTTTGAAATAAAAGTTCCTTATATATTTTCAAAAGATCTCTATTTACTGGAGTATGGAATACATGACTATCTATTTCTCTCATCTTGTATGATTTATTTAATAACAGCTGATAGATGTAATAAGGTCCTTTCCATTTTTGGTCTAATTTTCCTGAATGTATTTTGTCTTTAGCAGCTTCGAAGTACAAAACCTTATCTCCAATATTATATATAGTAGAGATTCTTATATTTTTATCATAATATTTCTTTGTTTTTATTGTGCAAGTTGCACTTGTATTTTTCACTAGTCGAAATCATTTCATTCGGCATTAATACCATTCGGTTAACATTCAGCTGATTCGGTCATGTGATTTGGCAAAATTCAGCTTAAGTTACAAAAATTGATAGTCATTTGTTACATCACACATAATTT